AGATGTGGAAACTACCGCTCTTTTTAAAAGACAACCATGCAGCCAGGTTAACAGTGAAGATTCAGTCATCCAAAGCTTGGTGAAAAAGACAAGTAAGAGTTGTTACTACAGTGTTTATGACTCTGATAATGACTCTTACTACAGTGTTTATGACTCTTAACTTATGTTAAGAAGAAATAGCTGTAATCAGCTTGGTGTTTTTTTTCTTTGACCAGATAACTTGTTCTGTTCACTGGTGAATGACAAATTCATGTTATCCAACACAAAGACATGTGGTTAAAACCAAATTTCCTTAGCAGGTGGTCCAAGAAAAGTAAAGTTAAAAAAGTAAAGGTCTTCTTATCGGATGTTTAAAAAGTTACCAGAAGGTGATCTGGCAGGCTCTGTCCTGTAAATTCTTACAAGAAAAATTTGCCTCACAGGAGTCAGTTGCTCCACTTCTGTGACTAGGGGTACTTGTATGTGCAAGGGTTTCCAAGTTGAGCTGAAGTGATGCTTTCTTTCAGTTGGAACAAACACTCTCATACCTTTGTATCTTTTCATTCCTCTGAGGCCGTGACGCCTCCTCCTGCCTCAGTCCCATACCATAAAGAAATGGATTCTGATCATTTCTAGTTCCCCGCTTCCCTCCACAAAAACCTAAGAAGGGATAAGAACGCAAGGGAAGTAGCTTATTCCTTCTGCATGTGGGTGCAAACTTGGTAAGTGATAAACCAGGGTCACAGGGTCACACTGTTGACAGACAGCTGGAAAGGCAGAGTGGACAAAACATACTGGACAAAACATATCACAATTTCCTGCAGGCATTTATATTGCAAGTTTGGTGATATCACCTTTGAATTAAATGGATGACTTAAAAAGATGATTCACTCCAGGAGCAGAGAAGGCTGCAAAAATTAAATGCAGTTTAATGGTGAAAATTTTATATTTTTGAGGCGCTACATTAAATTATGCAGCTGTACATCAAACTAACTTTCAAGTCAAAGTGACCTTTGGTTAAGGTAGATTGAAATAATCCAAGTTCATGATATATTTGTTAGGGGAAAAATATATGACATAGATTTTGCCATTTAAAATACTCATCTTACTAAATTAAAAAAATGCAGCCTTGTAAGTGTTTGTTAGCAGCAAAAGACGCACAAGGATACACAAAATTATTGTGATCACACTGAAGTGTTAAATTACTTGAGCCAGAACTGCAGTAGTAGATTTCCTTTAGAAAAAGGATGGTGAAATAGACATAGGCTTTAAGATTACCTTTAAAATGTTTTACTGTAGACCTAAAATAGCTACCCAGCTTAAAAAAGGAGGGGGGGGGGAGGCGAGAGGGAGGGAGAGGGAGAGAGAGAGAACATAATTTCAAAACCCTTAGCTTATTTTTAATTTATAGTCCTTGGAAAAAAAATAAGTGGATAGCCCAATCATTTATATGCCTGGGCAAAAGCAATACATCTATATAAAAGTACAGTGATATATTTCTGTTGCTAGTTTAATGTGCTGCTCTGTGCCCTGCGTGTTCTGATTCATTGGAGAGCAGCAATCATGTCGACAGGAGCTGTTCTTCAGTTCCCATCAGCGACAACTAAAGGCCAATTCAAGGTTGTGGTGGGGTCATGAATCTAACATAGTCACTGATAGAACAATTTCCCTTCCACATGACACCGTCAGTGGGACACAGAGGGAATATACAGCAAGGACTGCTGCAGGTACATCTTATTATTCACATCCCTCCTCTCCCCCCTCCTTTTTTATTTTTAATTTTTGGCGATGGCCTGTGCTGTTAACAAGAAGTCTCTGGGGAATACAGAATCAGTCAGTAGAAAATAAGAACGGGGAAGCTTCTAACCCTTTAAGAAACTAGCATACCCCCGGCCTCTGTGCAGGACAAATCAGCAATAAAAGCTCAGTTTGAAATATGGATCAGCCCCAAGACAACAGGACATGTACATCCATGACTGTTGTAAATGAGAAAGATGTTGGACCAAATTCTACAGTGATTTCACTTCTGGTATAGCATCCTTTGAATTCAATAAAAAGGCATTTCTATCTCGATATGACCCCAGCAGAATACTAGCCTTTCATGGTATGAAAATCAGCTCTGAATTTTGTCTGACAACACTATTCTTTTCACACATTCAAGTCCATAAATGATCTTTCCAGGGGACTTGGCGCAAGCTTTGAATAAGTCACAAAAAAAGAGCGAACTCTTGCTATTGTTTCTGCCATACGTGTCCCAGTGAAAGCTGATTTTCGACCAGCTGAGTAATATTTCATTCCCATTCCGCTATTAGTCATCACTAGAACATACAGACGTGACATATTAATACAGTATATCCCAGCCCTGATAATTCTAACCACCAGGCATGGGGCTTATGTTAAGGAACAACTGCGCTGCAGATGATAGAAATACTTAATAAGGTAAGCTTTATGCTTGGAAAAATTACTTATAGTACCTTAAGTCTGCAGACTGTACTGTTTTCTGCCTTCCACATTAGGAGAAGCAGACCTGCAAAATGTAGCTTTGCCCATTTGGTTAGAAAGGACTGCATAGTACTACATTTCATTTGCAAGTAATGTTTAAATGATGCTAGGCGTGTTAGAAAGAGCTGGAGACCACTAGTTCAAAATCTATGAAATAATCACACAGCAAGATGCAGAGTTATACTCAATGCTGCTTGTTTCCCATGTCCAGAAAGCCAAAAACCTAGGTTTTATCTGCAGTAAATATGGCTAGGTCCAAGCTTTTCTCATGTCCAAATTCTCCTCCCTTTTGCATTATGCTCAATCACATGCTGAGCAAGGCCAAGTTGCAAAGGTCTCTGAAAAGGCGGTAAGCGAACTTGACCTCTTTGTAGAGGCTCAAGTCCTCTTTCAATGGACTGAGCACAGAAGGGTTGAATGAACTACAACCCTTTCTATTCACACAGATCCTGTTTGACAGGGATATTTGGAGCTCAGCCAGCCTGCAAGATTCAACTTGCTCTCCAGCTCAGTCCTCCCCTTCTGATTCAAATATATCAGACACTACTCAACAGAGAAGGGGAAGAGAGAGATGCAGAAAGCATCAGAAAGCAGAGGAAGCCCCAAGAGGAATTCTGCTCCCTTGGGAGTTCTTCCAAGGTTTCTAGTGAACACGTCTTGCAGAAGAAGTTCTGTCCCCTTTATAATAAGGGGGTTTCCCTCCTTGTTCTAAGCTGGCTTTTCTATCTCTTTCAAAGCTAGATGAGTCCCAGTATGCCACTCCCCTTTGATCCCCAAGGCAATTTCCACTATAGCTTACATGGAAGCATAAACACAAAAATTTTAGGTCTTTAAATAGAATTTAGGGCCTCTCTTCATCTCTACTGCTTTTGAGCACAAAGCCAGGAGAAAGCGTAACAGTGAGTTTACAATGGATTTTCATTCATCTGGGGTTGATCAGGTGGTGGTTTGCTTCATAGTACAATACAGAGTGATTTTGAAAAGGCTAAAAATTGCATTCAGCTGCACACAGCTTTGGGTGATTGTCTCAGCTGCCGGCAGTAGTCAGAGCTTCTTCTGGTCTCGCTGTCTCCCGTCTGTGTTGGAGGTTTTCAAGTTTCTGATCTCAGAACTCCTACTACATGATCATCTGAGGCAACAATAAGGTAGTTCTGATTTTTTTTTTCTGTTTCAAAGCAGAATTTTATGAAACAGTTGGTACGTTAGTTAAAAATCAAACAAAGCTGAGCAGTTATGTTTAAAAATAACTTAAACTGTTCACATAAGGGGAATATTTCAGATCAAATTTGTTCTTCTGTTTAGTTTTGTGGTAATACTGTAAGGACTTAGGGCTGGTGGAACCCTATCTCTCTAGTTGCAATGGAAAGAAGTTGTATCTTGGTGAAGATTTCTGAAAGTGCAAAGAACTCTAGATACTTAACTCGGTTGAAAATCAAAGAGGAAGAAGTGAAAAAACTGTTTTGTGCCTTTTAAGCTTCTATATGCAGTTTTCATGGCATGTTAACCTCCAATAAATGAGGCCTATGATTAGAATTTAGTGATGACAATAATTAAAAAGAGATGAAAATAACTTTTCCTGTTTAAGAAAAATGAAAACAAAATAGGAAGCAGGAGGAGGGAGGGTTGAGCGAAGAAGATGTATTATTCTGCTTCTGATAGTCTAGGTTGCTTCTTTTTACTATTTGTTTTCACTTGTGGCCCATGAATCCTTACAGATGCAAAGGCTTATTTCTAAGAAATGAACAAAAGCTATCTAAAAGAAGTCTGCTGTCAGTAGCCTTACATTTGTTAATGGCATCTGCAGAACTTGTGGGGAGGAGAACCAACTGTATATCAGAAAAGATTAGAGATCGCTAAAGGAAAGAAAAATTATTTTCTTTCCTCATGGAGAAACAAGGAAACGAACATGCTTTGACCATTTTAATGATCATTTGCTAAACATCTGAGCAGCTGAATTGTTAATCTGAATGAACGTAGATAAAATTCAGTCATAGGCAATATTTGTAGAAATGTGAATTTCACGTATGTATGGACAGTTTTCCCCAGAAGTATTACACTTTGATCTAGCTGAGGAATAGAAATTATATTATGTCATTTAATTACACTATTGTGACTAGCAGTTTGTTTCAATCGCCAAGTCCTGCATATGTGAAGCAAAATGCAAGGTATCTAGTAGGTAAACATTTTCTCTTAATTTGTTGACTGAATTTGAATAGTGAATAAATTTGAGGAAATTGCAATCTGCTTGTGGAAATTCCATTTAAAAAAAAAAGGGGGCTAAGCTCATAAGGTAAATTATTAATGGCAGTCTATTCGCATTGCTCCAGTTATTTGTAACATAGGAAATGTGATTTGCATGTATATGTCATTTTAATATTAACTCAGTTGCCCGCTCAGATCTAAAATAATAAGAGATCCAAGACTCTCATTTGCAAAGAAGAATTTTTAATGCAAGTGAAATCAATACGGTAAAACATTCCATCCAAAGAAAGGCTAAGAACTGAGTGCATGTATTATGCCTGAGGATAATAGATTTTAGACCCTCAATTTTCTTCACCTGTGATGTGACACACACACACACACACACACACACACACACACACTGCTCAGTAAGAGGATAAAGTGTGCTTTCAGCATTGAGTTCAAGTGCATGATGTACTCTTATCTGAAGAGAGTTTGATTAGTATCAACCAGAACAGTATAAACAAAAGTGAAAATACATCATGTGCTTAGACACAGCTGTGTACAGCTGACAGTGTCTGAGCTAGAATGAAGAGTTACTGAATAAGAGTTAACATTCTTGATGGGATACTGTTAGAGAAGCCTCATTTCAGCATGAATATTACACAACCTCTCTTCTTCCATTTACAACACTTCCTTATTTTTCATAAACACAAATTTCCATTCCATTTTTAACACTGTCTATAAATATGTTCATTTACAACAAGTGCAGGAATGAGCTTGTATTAAAGAGAATTTTAAATTACAGCTATATTTTTATATCTGAGCTTTTTGTTAATTTAACATCAGCATTTCCCAGAAACACTGCGATTTTAGTATTTGCAGCTGGTAACTGTGTGACAACTCTGGGCTCTGAAGCCTTATATTTATATCCTAGAATGTACACAGAATTGCTATCACTTTTCAGGCTTGGTTTTACCAATGTGTCTCGGAGTGAAAAGGATCACCTCTAGAACTGAGAAGGTTTTTTAGAGTTTCACAGACCTATTCAAATCCAGGCAAAGACAAGGGTGCTTTGTGTGTTGCTGAAGAATCATTGCTGCCAAGAAAAGTGACTATTTACTTCATTCAGTGCCTGTATTTTAGTACCAGTATGGGTGAGGAAAGGTACTAACAATGCCTGTGAAACCAACCATTACAAAAGAGCAAATGACTTCCTTTTTCCTCCCATACCTTTGCCTACTGTTTTGAAAGGGCTCTGAGCAAGGTCCTTCATCTTTGTCTCCACTGAGATTCTAGTCAAGATGGTACTCATACAAGGGAAGTGGTTGCAAGCCTAAGTGCTGACTTTGTGTAGGCCACTGAAATATCATCAGGATATGTTAGTTGGTAGCCTGAGGCCTCAGCGTAGATTGCGGCTTGGCTAGATCTATTACATGACTCATTTTAAAAAACAGCATGCTCCCTGTGCTAAAGGTTCTTGATACCAACTTGCAAGCCAAATTAGGTTTAAGTTTCCAAATGCAGGTCTGTAAAATGTCAGTGGTTTGGAAAGACTCAAAAGACTTCAGCTATAGCAGTTTGAAAAGACTGCCAGAGAACTCAGCTAGGTCTGAGAATCAAGGCTAGGGACTTTGCAAATATCAAACAAATATCTAACCTCAACCTGAGATGCATTTCTTTTGCCTAGTATTGCCAGCAACAGCAAAGCTCAGTCTAAAATTAAGGTTGTCCTTGTGCACAGAACACAGAGACTTGGGAAAGCAAATTTGTTCTTTAATATTTGTTGCTGGCAAGCACCAAGCCTACATGTAAGATAAAGAAAACTTAGTAAGCAGAAGGAGAAACCCAGAAGGAATAAATCAATAAAATAGGAACAGTAAGTAAATCACTCCACAACACAGTCTAATAACATCTTATCCCCAACAAACAGGATGCATTTCTTTCCTCAGTTTCCCAACTGCCAAAGTGAATGTCTAGTAACAAGCACCCCCTTAACTCTTTAACTTCCTTCCTTTCTCTCCACAGTGATGCAGCAGTGGTACCGCCCACAAACACCACTACTGAAGTCCATCTTTAAGCCCACTGGGTTTCTTATTTCTGTGAGGAGGCACTACCATCTTCTCTCCCTGCTTTGCCCATAATTCTTGCTGGGGCACAGCTCCTGATACCAACAGCTATTGCTATGCTGCTGCAACACCGGCTCTGCAGTGGGATGAGAATGTCAGCTCCGTATGTATCATATGAAGAGGCAGAGCTAGACTAGACTTCTTTCAGACTAGCTTTTTTCAGTCCATCACAATTCTTCACTGCTACAAGGGGTCTGTGTGCTTGCATGTATGTAGTACATACTAGGGAATGGTTGTAACATCTTTTTCTGATTTTCCTTTTCTTTATTTTCATCTGCCCCTTCATAGCCAAAGGCCTTCTCTTGACTGAACTCTTAATTTCTTGGGGGAACCCAGGTGACTTAATTATTGGCAATTATTCCTGTGTGCAGATGTGGAGAGGTAGAACTTGAGGCCAAACAAGACAGAACAAAGAAAGGTAGTCTGGAAAGCGTCGGGTGCTGGGGAAGACAATACTATGGGCAAAGCAGCTAAAATTGAATATTGTTCTGTTTTTTATTTGGTTAAATTTGCTCTAGCCTGTGTTAGAAGAATCCTTCTTGGCTTAGTGTAAGAGAATGGCAGATAATAAAGTCAAGAATAGCATTAGAATAAGCTCTGTTCCTCTAAAAGCTGCTCACCCGGGTGCCACAGCTGATGCTTTTGTTCTATAACTGAACTGGAGAAAGACAATAGTCTTAGTCTATCGGGGGTATGAGGCCAGGCCTTGGATACTGACATATCCCTAGCTCAGAGTAAGTTCTGTGCATCTTGTGCTCTTTACTGCTGCCGTGAGGATAAGAGCATTTTGCTACCCTAAACATGGAAGGACTGTAGTCTGTATGTTTGCACTAGAATAGAAGTGGTGTCTATGCTAAGGGAGCATAGTCTATTTCTTCTCCTGCCCATCAAAAAATGGGTATAGGGACGTTCTTCAGTTGTACTCTTCAGTTGACAGGTCTCCACAGACAAAAAACTTAATCAAAAATAATCAGGCTCATCGTATTGTCTGTTCTTAAAAACAAAAGAACAAACAAACAAAGCAAAACTTCGTAACTCTGGCAGAACTCAACTAGGAATCTGTTGGTACCTTAATTGATTGATATTCCAACATACACCATTGTATAGGGGTACTGGATCTATTGAAATAAACCAAATAAAACTTTCACAGTAGCCTACTGGATTTTTTGGAATGAATAGCTGTATCTTCAAAGGAGAAGAAAGATAAATACACAAAGATAAAGAGTCTTCCAGGACAGAGCATTACTAAAGCACAAGTAGGAGAGAGATTGGTTTGCCATTCCTCTATTACGATAGTATAACTTTCAGATGTCTACCAAAGCAATCACTGAATATGATCAAACTGTGTATGAAACCTGTAGATTGTTCTATTAAATACAGTAAGAATTAAATGTGTGTGCCATCCTGGCAGCTGTTGTTCAAGCAGAAGCCCTGCAAGAGCTACAATGGGAAATGGCTTGTTGTTATCACTTATGGAATTAATATAGCAAATAAATCAGGTGAGCCCCTACCAAGAACAGCATGCATACTGCAGACTGCGAAAGCATAAGCATTCACTGTTTTAGCTGAAAAGCAAGACCTGGATGTGCAACTTTATTTAGTTGCCCTACCCTGCAGGGCTTGTCAACAGTGAATACTGAATAGCCCTGCCACTGATGTCAGGCGGTGTTAGATACCTTTGAAGGTCTCTCCCAGATTCGGTCAGGCCATTACTGCAGCTGCTGGGTCACTGAACATATACGTGATCCAAATATGAGAGAAGACTTCATTCCGTAGAGGATTTCAGCCAATCTGATCTTTGATGTCACTAAATGAATACAAAGATTTTAACAACAGTTTGCATGTGCACACCTTTTAGAAAGGAGTAAACTATTTCTGAAAAAGATCTGAATCATAAAGGCAATCACAATGTTATTCAGAAGTATGTGAGAACACAGGATCTATAGCAGACATTTAGGCTCTCACAGGACAGAGATCTTTTTTTTTTTTCTACATCTGTTTTGTCTTCTAACCTACCATGCTCTCTGCATTTTTTGGAGGACACAGATTTAGAAAGTGGCTGCTTATTGATTTATAGTCTTTATGCTGGACATGGCTTTTTATTAAAGAAAGCAGATACTCAATAGTGTTAACTAGTAATGGGAATTGACTTTTCACTAATTGCACAGAACCTGACATTAATACACCTTAATAGAAAACAGGCCTGTGCACTTCAGATCAATCCTGAAGTTTTTTCCTGACTACGCTACAGTCAAAGGCTTCCAAAAACAACAACGTGACTAAATAAGACATTTTATTTATTTATTTATTATTCCTCCAATTATCGAGATAAGGACATATCTCCAGGGAATGAGGGAAACACTTTAACTTAGCTGCTCTCCCTCTGCTTATTTGTTCCACAGGGATCATTATTTCCTGGTGTCCTATTCTGCCCCATTTTCCTGTTTTGTACATGAAGGAACATTTTGTCTGCCTCAGGCAGAGTAGGATGCTTGAGGTGGGGTGGGGAGATAGCAGGTCTGCAGGCAGAATAAACGTTCTTGAAATAACGCCAACATTAGAAATAAACAGATGATATTTTAGGCTTGTTTTAAAGGCTAATGTTAATGCTACATTCATGCCATGAAACAAATTCTCTATGTATACAGCTTTACTTTCTGGTTTCTCATTAAATGAGCACAAGAGGATTAAGGATTAACAACTGTACACTATAGAGCACCCTTGCCCTCCCAGGCCTTTCTCCACTAGCCAGCCTTTTCCTGAATTAGCTGCTCGTTTGAAAAGTTCCAACTTACACAACAGTAGTCCCTACCAGATAAGCTTGCTGGGTTTCTCATTTTTGTCAAAAGAATAAATAGCCACAAAAGTAATGCTCTGAAACAAAAAGTTTGGAGGTTGTTAAAAACGCCTCAACGCTATCTAAGGCATCTAGCTCCCAAGGGCTACGAAGCTAGCTTCTCAAAAGATACCATTAGTTCATGGGCTGCAGTTTGCACTCAGTACAGTGGAGGAATGTTAGTATGCTCAGTTACAAACCCTGCAGGGCAATTTTTCACCTATGCTCTGTCACTAATTTTGAACATTTAATAAAATAAGTTTTTCCCCCATTACGTATTTTACATTTAGTTTGCACCTCCTGTCAGCCAGCTCCTTGTTACAGCAGCTGAAGACACAGAGAAAATGGAATCAAGGCTTAGTCATTGTCCCACTGAAACTCTCATAGAAAATGAGACTATGTGCTCTCACAGCAAAGACTGGCTCAAAGAGTAGCAAATTGGAGTCCTGGCCCCTTTTAGGCACTATTACCAGTCAAATAAAGCAGATAATAATAAAGGATTGCTATTTTACTTCATGTACTTAAATAAAACAGTTTGGAAAAACCTTACTAATGGTTTGTGACACTGAAGTCTTAGACCAGCAGCCTCCTAGAGACAGGCCCGTGCAAAAAGGCAGATTTTTCACTAGCTTCAGACTTTTAAAAAGTGTAAGTCCATGGCTCTATTTGAAAGCCTGAAGCTAAAGAAAATCTATTTTTGCTGAAGATCTCCATCCTTGAATTTCTATGGGCAAAACATCAGATCAGGTTTGCCACAGCTTTGTCCAGATAAATCTTTAAAACCTTCAAGGAGGGAAATTCCACAGCGTCTCCAGGCAACCCGTTCCACTGTTGCACTATCCTCCTAGAGAAAAAAGTTTTTCCTAATGTCCAATCTGTGCCAAGCCTTCATTTGTACTTATAGCCCCTTGTTATATGGTCCGGCTCTATGAAGAAATACTTGGCACCTTCACCTTTATAACTGCCCTTCAAACAGCTGCAGGCTGCTTTTGGAACTCCCCTTAGCCTCCTCCATTCCCAGCTAAACAAAAGCCCGGTTTCCACCACCACTCCTCGTAGTGTTCTGGGCACCAGTAATGGAACCGGGGACTGGTAAAGGGTAGTTAATGCTTCATGCTAGTTAATGATGTATGTTCATGCCGTGGGAAAATCATTTTCAGCTCCCTATAGCTAGCACAGCTTGACGACTTCTGTTGCCAGTCATTGCCCTCTAGCAATGCCTGGGCCTGAGCTTGTAAATTTGCCATCTGAAAGAGCAGTGGCTTTGGTCTTGTGAGCAGCTAAAGGGCCACCCTCAGGATGCAATATAAATATATTAATTTAGCTCATTTTTAGTCCTGGTCACAACAATGAACATCTGGTGCAACTCCATCAGCTTTAGTAGGTTGCTTGGGTTGCTGCACGGCTGTTGCTGAGAACGGGACCAATCTGGTGGTATCTGAATTTGCAGTTAGTGACAAAATTTTCTGCTTGGCAGCTAGGCTGCCATACTGAATCACTTTCATTGGTGAGACAACTTCTGGGTAGTGCTCATTTGGCTATATTCCACCGCAGCGCTAAACGTACTCAATAAGCCGTTGAACAAAGGGTTTTTTTGCTGTATTTTGTTGCTGATACTTTATCAAAGAAATGAGAAATCAAACTACAGCTGAGTAGAAAATAACATCAGCAGTTTGCTATGACCACTATTTAAAAGCATGTTATGATACTGGCAACTAATATACTGTTAATGAATATTCTATCCTGAAGTGAATTTATGTCGTTATTAATCAGTGATAAAGCCTGTATCTGTCCTCTTTTCTTAGTATAGCAGTCCATAAACAAATATGCACTCAACCAGTAGTGCCAAACATTTGGTTGCTTCTGCATATTTACAGATATGCAAAGTAACTTGCCCCGCAGGAATATTTTATTTAGTATGATAGGACTTAAAAGTGAAAGGGTAACCACTTTGATCATAACCTTGGCTTTGCACTTCTAGCAATTATCCTTTAATTGCATTACCCTATTTGAAATAGAGTTGTAATTGGAAAAAAACACTCTGACATTCTCTGACGCTTACTCTGACATGTATTACTTGTTTTTTATTCAAATACAAATTTTCTCTCTAACACTATCAAAGAAAGGGGGAAAATAAAGCAAAATTGAAATGTCAGTAGCAATTTCTGACATGCGAGAAGCATCATCAACTAGTGCTGGATGGTAGGCAAAGGTTTTCAATTCACTTAAAAAAACCTGTGAAGCTGGTAGAGTCAGAGGAGAGGCAGGACTTACGGTGGAAAAGAGCTACAGTTCCATTCCTTAGGGAGAACTGTCCGTTTCACACGGTAGTATCAAAATATCAAACCAGCTACCAGCTGTAATTGTGTGATGCATGAACCTTTCAGATTACATTGAATCAGAAGATGCAGAACAATACTTTCTAACCTTACAGGTAACTATTGAATAATCGTTAGGGTCAACAAAAGTCAACTAAACACAGGATTCACTTTCATCATGCCCTGTAGTGGAGAACATGCACTTGGGTAGAAAAGTATCTTTGCATCTCGTCAGCTTCTCTCAGGAGGGTTTAAACAAATCTACTCTAATTCAGGGCAACTTGTACGATGTAATTTGCACCTTGTATTTCTGACAGGTGAGTTCCCTCTAGTTTGGCTGCATAAACTGCATACAAGGACCAGTTCTATAAACACTGACACATGTACACAGCTTTACCACGATTTGGAATAAGTAGAAACTACCTGTTGGGGTTCAGGATCTGAACAAGCCTTAGGCCCTCTAGGCACTACCCAAGGTAAAATTAAATCAATTACAAATACAAAGTTAATGATTTAGAGTCTACCATTCTGGAGAGACTATATTGCTTAAAAATAAGGATTCCCTCATGTGCTCAGTCAATACACGAGGAAAACTGGCTCAGCGTATTACCCCATATTTGGACAGAGGTACCCAGTTGGGATGGGAGGGCACATATGTAAAGCTGAATGTTGTAATTCACTCACACCTGGAGGAGGAGAAGTTGCAGACGTTTTCTGCAGTGATTCTTACGATAGATTTCCTTTGTCAGTGGCCCTGTGTTCTCACTTACTCCAAAACAGATCCAGCCCAATGTTTTACTTCAAAGAATCAGCAGTTCACAGATAAGAAATTAACACAGGGGAGTCATAAACCAGAGGTAGTTGCCACAGAGTAGGCTGGATAAACTATGTCTTTCTAGATTTTTTTAATGAGCAAAGCAAAAGCAAAACCAAAACCAAAACATAACAGTAGAAAGAAAACTTTCCCTTGAGAAAAATAAAATTCTGGGTTTGCCTACAGATATAAGCAGCTTGTTAGTGTCAATTAATTACTCTGAGCTCTCTACCTTGCTAGTTTTATTATGACCATATCCAACACAAATGACACGAGAAGTCATCTATTCTGTCTTTCCAAGCTCTGCTGTCTTGACCGAGTCTCCAAACCTGATTTTGAACTGCAAGGGGAAACCCAGATATTTAAGCCCAGATTCAGGCATTTGGCACCTAACTTCTAGTGGTTTCACGGGGACTTAATGCTTCTGAAGGTGTGGTCTCTAGGGGCCAACCCAGCAAAGGTTACCCAAACATTTTATTGGGGGTTCCCAGTAACAGGAGGAGATTTTATTTTAGCTGTATGCTGATGGTTGCTTAGTAGCTACCTTCCACTGGGGCTAGGTGGCTCATTGTCATCAGATCACAGGCCCAATCTCTATTCATTTGTCACTACAAAAGCATACATAACAGCTGAGGGTGAAGAATATCTTGGTGGGAACAGTTCCATCAGCTTCAACACTTCATCAGGTCACATTTGCCTATTTTACTTGTGCAGAACTGATCTATTTGCTTTGACCACTTACCCATGTATGTAATTTCACTGAAGTCAATAGGACTGTTAATTGAGCTCACTGCTATGAGAAAACAACTTGCTATTGCCGATGCAATATATAGACAAAC